AATGTTTAATTCTAACCAAAATCCTGAAAACTTCACAGTTTTACCCTAATTAAAAGTCAATGAAATGAAACCAATAAAAAGAGTATCATAAAAAGCGTGTTCATTCTAAGAAACTTAACTCCATTTTTAAGCCTTAAATCTATTTTTCTCCCTCATCCCAAAGCACCTAACACAGCAAAACCCTTCGTGTTTTCATATAAGCTATTCCCTTTGCTTAGAACCTTTTTGATGTCCAGCTCACTCTTTTCAGGAAGTTTCTTCTCATCCCAGGGTGAGGCAGATGCCTCTCTTCTGAGCTTCCAAAACAGCCTATACCTACAAGTATCCAGTGACAAATAACGTGTCATCCAAACTGGGATGCTCTGTCACCGCACTCACAGCAGGGAAGATAATTACGCGGCCGCCCTGCTCTGCTGTGAGCTCTTTGAGATCAGGGTATGGTCTTAGTCATCACCGAATCCCCTGAGCCTCTGACAGCTGCCTCACATTTAGTTGATATGTGATCAATTTTTGAATGAATAAATTTTGAAGTAGTCAAGTTTTATTTTGCTTATCAATTTTTTGCATTATTTCAATCGGCAACTTTTATACATGCAGTGGTAAAAAATTTACAAAGCAATTTCCCACACATTATATAAATGATTCTCACAACAACCTTGAGGCAGGTATTTTTATTATCCTCATTTTGTGAATGAGGAAACAGGTTTAGTGGTTGATACTTAAGTGCTCATCATGTAAGTAGAAGATGGGACTCAGACTCTTGACGTTTTTGATTCAGAGCCCTGAGTTTCAGTTTTTATAAACCAGACAACACTCTCTCTGGCAATGACTATTAACTGGTGTCCCTTTGGGACATTCTAAGCCTCCCAGAGTCACCCCATTCTCATACAGCCCCATATTGCAGGTAGAATGCCCAGCCCCTTCCCCATCCCCTCTTCCATCTGCTGACTCCCGCTGTGCCTCAGAGCAAGCCCTCCTCCAATACTGAAGATGTGAAGTGGGGATGGAGCTCTTCTGTTATCTCTAACAAGGATTACATGCATCCCCCATACACAACGAACAGAAAATCTGGTTGGTGATTTAATTCTTTAATTTTCCACTTTTATTTCAAAAACTATTTTCAACTCATAGCAGAGTAGTGTAAAAAACACCCATGTCCCCAACACCCTCAAATCAATGTTGTGATTAAACTTCTATGTACCATTTTGGGGCTTTGTTTTCAGAACATCGTCAACTACTTCACAGTTCCGTCTTCTCGAATATACCAGGCTAAGGAGTAAAAGATTCTGTATTTTGACTAAGATCTCTTGTAGTTACTAGACAAATGACTATACATGTCACATACTTAGAAATCTATCTTAACTATGTACCATCTCCTTCTATGCCACATCTGAAAACCACACAGTAATTAATCCCCTTCTTTCCTCTAATTTCCTTTCCTTGATGTTTGGCAAGCTACCTCTGGATATTGATCAAGAGGAACTCATCCCATATCAGCAGTGGTCATGACAAATATATCAACTCCTTCCCAACTATAAATTATGTAACTCTCTAAAAATGTGAGGATTTTGTTTAAATGAGTTTAGTCGGTATAAATCAACCCATCAGAGGCTGGACATCAACATTAACATAAAAAAAGTGTGAGAACTAGCCCACCAAGCTACAATAAGTACTTCATAAGGACAAACCTAAAATAGCCATCCTGTTATATGTAAACTCTCATGTCTGTTACTTAATCATAGAGTTTTAAATCAGCCCAATGCAAAACATTCCCTTTCCCTCCACCTGGCCCATTCTTACCAACCAGAGCAGTGTACAGAGAACATGAGCCCATGAATCATCTAGGCCATCCCTAGGCAGGGGGAAGCACACACAGCAGCACAGTTATGATCAAATGTTGCCTTCTCGGGTTTTAAACAAGGAATTGACCGTTAACAGTGATTATCTCTGGGGAGTGGGAGTCAGAATGACTTTCATTTTTGTACTATATGTACTTCAGTATAGGTTAAATTTTTACAAAGAGCATGGATTTTATAATAACTTCCATTTTGAGAAAAACAGACATGAGTCACTTTTAATTTAGTTTACATAAGAGTATAAAAATAATTTCAATATTTTATTGTAAAAAATACTATCACAAGAAAAAAATAGGAGAAAATATCCTATACAGACCAAAGTGACCTCTCAAGCAGATGTTTTTCAAATGTACCTTGATTTTTTTTGGAAGACAACAGATTGTAGCTTAAAAATAAAAACCTATGGTAGTCTTTCTGCATTTTTATCCCAAATGGTTTCCTCCTCTTTGGGCCAGAAGGTTAGCAGCAGAGGCTTAGCACTTTTCCTGGCGGGAGGAGAGGCCTGAAAGCAGGCCCTTCTTTTCTCCTGCACATTAGAATGGGAAATGGTGCTGCAAGGAACACAGACATCCTTAAAAAGCTCCATGAACTGTACCTTTCCCAGAGCCTGGCAAAAGAGGAGAATGAGAAAACAGTACAAAAATTTATCAGCGTTAAAAGCGAAATCAAAACACAAGGTCAAGAGCGAGGGGTTGAGGCGTGGTCAGCCCTGCTAGGTCCTGGTTAAACATGGTTTCTCTTTTCTCCGAGAATGAGGCACCAGGGCTCCCCCACCTCCTCTGAAGCAGGCCATGATAGTGGGGTGGGAAGAATAGAAAGGCTTCAGGCAAGACTGCTCAACCTGAATTATTCTATACCATGAAAATATGGTCATACTGGAGAAATCTGCTTTTAAAATGAATATAAGATGTTAACTGAAGGCTCTACTGCAGACTGTCTTTACTAATCTTTAGAAAAGCATTTCACCTCCACTATGCTTCAATTTTCTCTGTTTAAGATGAGGAAGCCCCCATCTAGCTCCCAAAGCCATTCCATTATTACTGAGACTTTTAGACATCCAGCAAGTAATTCAAAAGGAAAGTTTTGAGGTTCTTATGGTCAGCCATCATTCAAACTTCACCTTTTTGTATCCTAATTCTTTCCATTTCTCCCCATCATATCCATCTGCACTGACAAAATGTCATAGAATCTAATTTCTCAGTTTCAAAGGACAAGGTGGTGATTGCTTTGAAGTTATCACCAGAACTGCATCCTTCACCAAATGTGCTCCCGAGGGCCTTGAACTTTAGCTCAAGGAACTGATTCTAAGTCGCCTACAAAATGCCTGGGACCACTCCTTGGGTTCGAATGTCAAAGAGAAAATTGTTCCTGGAACAGTTTTCCTGCCGTGATACATACTGTATGGAAATACACTCAAGCCAAGGAAGAATCTGCGCGTACCTACCACGCTGAAGCTCCATTTAGGAATATTATTATACACATACAAATGCCCTACTGTCCCCAGAAAACATCAAGGACTTTCACCAACATCTTCCTGACACTTCCAATTTGGAGAATGTCACGTCAACCTTTCAGATCAGGTAGACGCGTTGCTTAGGTAGAAACGGAGACTGCAAGGGTGGCTGAGCTCAGACCCAAGCCTACATATTTTAGCGGTAACGACTCCCAATCTACGTCCAACACATGTACCGACCACTAACAGAACTTCTTAGTAAGCGCCCACCACTGGAAGCGAAAGCACTTTCTTCCCAGGAAACAGATCTTTTCCACTTAAAATTCCCAAACCCGAGACCTACCACTTTTTACTGAACAAAAAACCGTGTGTGCCGATAAGAGGAGGTGGGAAAGAGCGTGGCAAGAATTTGCACGGCTCTTACGCCTCCTCCCTCGGAGCGCGCCCAAGTCTGCGGCCTCGGCTCCGGGACACTTCCCCTCCCACCCGCCCAGGAGCCGCAGCTGTAAGTTGAGAGAAGCGGGCTCTGGGCACGTCAATCAACCGGGTCCTCCCGCCTCCCGTCTACACCTCCCCTCCCCCCTCAAAAAAATAAAGGCAGAGAAAGAAAGGGAAAAGAAGGTAACTAATTTGGGAACTAGTCTCCGCGGGGGCTTCGCCTCCGACCCACGGAGGCCGCACGTCCCGGACCAGGCGCGCCGGCGGGCGGCGGGGTCGAGCAGGCGGCCCGGCAGCCGCCCGTCGCCGGGTCCTCGCCGCGCGTCCTCCGCGCTCCGGCTCCCCGCACGGGTCGGCGCCGCTCCGGCTCCGCACTCCGCCAGGCCTGCGGTCCGCCGCCCTCCGGCCCGGCCCAAAGTTGCGCAAATAGCCCCACAACTGGCAAATACTCACCGGCCGCAGCAGGAACCGGGGCTGCGGAGGTTTTAGGGAGTTTAAGGCAAATCAGCCGCGGAAAGGCGGGCGGAGGCGAAGGGGCCGCGAGCTGCAGTGGCGGCGGCGCTCGGGCTGGGCTGCGCGGAGAGGTTCTGGCTCTGCCAGGGACTGTGCTGCAACAAAGGACTTCCGCTGCCGCACAGCCGCGCCTGCCGCACCGCACTGAGCCGGCCCCGCTTACGCGGCGACTCCGGGTCTGCCCACCAGTTCGCTGCGGCGTCCGCCAGCCTTCCCCTCCCTCTCGCCCGCCCACCCACTCCGCCGCTGGCTGCTAGGGGCACCCGCGGTCGCCTGTTTGTTGCAACAAGTTTCTGCGTCGGGCTCCGAGAAGGCTGGCGCAACCCGCACCGCGGGGGCCGGCGCGGCGGCGGCCTGACCACCTCTCTCGCCCCTCTCCCAAGGGTAGGCTTGGGACCTCCTCCTCCTCCTCCTGTTTGCACAGCTGGTCAGGACGGGGCTGGTCAGGACGGGGCTCCTCCCGACTCCCCAAGGGCAGGATGTGCTTTCCCACTCCGTCCAGATGTCAGACCCCTGCCCCGTAGGGCCCAGCAGCTGGGCCTTCCCTCCCACTACGTCCGTGGTGTTCTGGGGGTGCCAGCACCATCACCCTGTCCCGTGCGCGGCCAGTCCGTCCATGGTTGCCCATTCCCCGCGCTCCCCCCACCCTGCCTTCCATGGGCCTGTCCGCCTCCGGCCTTGAGTCACTTCCCCCGCCATGCCCCACCCCGCCCAGCCCGCCTCCCCTCCCAGATTCCCGCGGCTCAGCTTCCCTGGCCCCGCGCCCTCACCCCTCTCCTCGCGAACACGCGGGCGCATCCTTGCCCACCCCCACCCCCGAACAGAGGGGGTGCCCGTGCTTTTGCACACCCTGGGGAAAGTCCCCAAGTCACGCGGTTGTGTGTGGGGAGCCTGTGACGCTCAGGCTCGTCTGCACGCTTCCGCCTACAGAGTCACGACTGGCGACTGTGGCGGAGGCGCCCCAAGCGCACGCCGACCCCTGCCTGGCCACTCGAGCGGGCGAGTGCGCACGCACGCACACAGACTTCGGCCCCGCGCCCCTGGTTCCTCGGCTACCAGGCGCGCGATCACGTGGGCCCATCGCGGGGCGGCCGGCGCGGGAAGCCGCGCGAGAGCCGGCAGCGGGGTGCGTGAGCCGGCGCCGCCGCGTGACGTACACGGCGCGGGAGCCGCCCCTCCCGCACGGAGGAGCCGGCCGGCGGCCGCGGCGGCGTCTGGGTAAGCGACGCGGCCCGGCCCTGTGGGCTGCTCCGGGCTCAGTCCCTCCCGCCGCCAGCCGCCCTGGGCGGCGGCCTGCAGCTGCGCCGGTCGCGGGACAGATGCAAGTAGCTGGGGAGAGGGGTGTTTTTGGTCCATTTGAGATGTCAATCAGGGCACAGGAGGAAAATGGCAACCGCATGTGAGCGCTGGGCCGAGGATGCCCGGAGCCGCCTGTCGCTGCCGACACAAGGCGCTGCCGGGGCCTGACGCAAGCCGGGACGGCGCGCGGGGAACCGCAAAGGCATGGCGCCCTCCCCGCTGCGGGCCTGGGTGCGACCCCAAGCGGGAAGTCCCGGCGGGCCTCCGGCTTTTCCCCGGCGGCCGCACCGGCCCTTCTCGCAAGTGGGCGGGTCTCCAGGTGCAGCCTGCGAGACGCTGCGGCCGCTGTCCTCCCTCTCCCTCCCCCACCCCCGTTGGTGATTACCCGTTTCTAGGGCAGGAAGTCCCCCCCAAATTCATTTGTTTCTTTTTTCAGATTATATTAATCTCACTTTAAGCAAATCGAGTTTTTCGTTTTTGGAGCTTGCCCTATTCATTACTGTCTTCCCTGGCGCTTATTATTTGGAGAAATCAAGCTGCTTAGGCAGCACCTAGCGCTATACCTGGAACTTGACAGCAGCCAACAGGTTTCATAAATTAACGCCATTTCCCCCAAGGGATTAAATTTGGCATTCATTCTCTTGAGATTTAAATCTTTTTGGCAAAGCTGTCGATTTTCACAGGATTTTGTGAAGTGTGTAAAGTACACTTTGGAATCAGATTTTAAAGCTGAAGGGGGCCTTATAGAAAATCTAGTTCATCCTCTCGTTTTACAGATGAGGACACCACGCCTAAAGGAGCGTGTAGTTTGATGGGGTCCTACACTTGAGTAACTGAGCTCCAGGGCTCCAGACGCCTTGGTCCTTGCGCTGTCCACCACATCAGGAGTCCAATGCCAGTTTAACCCACTCACTGTAGAGACCCTCCATCAGAGCTGATTATACTTGCCTTAATTCAGGTTATGGAGAAATCAGGTTTGGCCAGTGTGTGATGGCTCTGGTACTTTAAGGAATGGAGTTGGCACTATTTCTAGGTGGAGTAGACTGCCTGTGATGTACTTTGGAGTTCAAAGCCCGTCTCCCCCCAATTCAGCCCTATTCTCTGCAAGAATAACCAACGTTTGCAGCATTGCTTGCTTCCTTAGGTTAAAGCATCAAAGTCCTCTTTAGCAATCTGGATATGTTTTAATTAAGGGTAAACTATTAATCCGTCATCAGACATCAGCTCCTTAATAGGGAACAGAACACTGATGGGATAGTACATGGGATAGATTAGTTCTTATGGCTGGGAGGTTATCAGGAAACAGTGGAACATCACAGGGGTGGTCAGCAAGAAAGGAGGGAGGACCTCATGTGACTTGCTACGCCTTTTGGCCCAGCCCTGCCCTGAGTGTCTTATTTGGAGGTAGTTGAGATGGATCCTGCTCAGGTTTGGTCGCTGTTTGAGTACCTGCAGTGGCTAGCTACTTTCATAGATGAATTTTGAATACTTTGCAAAAAGGAAGTAGTAGTATCTCCATGTTACAAATGAGGAAACAGGCTCAGAGAGATTTACCTGGCTTCATTTGCAGTAGAGTTCAAGCCTGGATCACTTATCTCCCAAGTCCAGTCAGTGCTCTTTTGCATTATATCTTGCTACCACTTCAAGCCAGGAAGGGGATGAGAGAATCGCCTGCGGCTGATTTATTGGCGCCTGTGGTTGCCCAGAGAGGCCGAGCAGGACTTTTCAGCTGCCCTCTCTGCTTTAGAAAGTGGAGTTGTGTGCTTCCACCCTATCTCCTGAGGGGAATGCGAAGGAGCCAGGCTGTCTAGCTGGGGAGGAGGGGCCCAAGTGCCTTGGCCGTAAAATATCCTGCCCAGGGCTGTGCTGGGAAGTGTTGCGTAATGCCCTCCCCACCGCTGAACCAAAGTGATTTATTTACTATGGTCTGTAGGTGGTGCTTGACCATCTTGTTAAAGAAAAACGTGTCCATTTTAGTAGTAACAGGGCCAGAAAAGAGGGGGGTTTTATATTATTGCAGGCTTTTTTCTTGTCTTAAAAAAGCAGTGCAGGTGCTCTTATCTTGATCAATTATAAAGTACTTCTACACCACTTCCTGTGCCCCCTTTCTGCTTATTTATTCCAAATTGCATGTGAACTTCAGTCTTTTGAGAGAAGAATGTTAAGAGAACTACTGCTCCAGTTCATAGTTACCAGCACAGGCTATGGAGTCAGACCTAGCTTTTGATCCCCACTTGATACTATTTGCTAGTTATGTGTCCTAAGCCTAGGGGTTTTTTCATCAGTAAAATGGAAATAAAAATAACACGCATAGTCACAGTGAGGATTAAAAGAAATAATGTACATAGAGCACTTAGCACAAGGCCTTGCGTATAGTATTTACTCATAATAGTAGCTTTGATAATAACTAGAACAGTATTATTCCCTCTAGGATAGGAAAGATATTGCTACTTGAACTTGCTTCGGGTGGGTGGAGGAAGAGGAAAGAAATTGAAGCAAACATCAGTTTCAGGATTATTGATTGAATTTATTAAAACTTCTGCTTTCCCTTTGCCAGCAGGAATTTTTTCTTTTTCTCTTTTTTTTTTTTTGACCTTATCTGGAGAAAAAGTGTCCATAGTGTTAAGCTGGTTATTTTTGAAATTTTTCTAATTCGTTTCTTCCCTGGTTACAAATTAATCATACAATGACTTTTTGTTCCTCCTGAAAAACTCTGGGCACTTTAAGCAAAGGGTTTCATTAGCCCATGTGGATAACGTGTTTGTGGAATGTTCCATGGCAAAGGAAGTATTGGCTCACCTATATTCAGAAGTTATAACCGTTCTTGTTTCTACTGTATTCTAGGTCTGTACTAGCCTTGTCGCTTTCCAACTTTCTCCTGTCCTTTGAGTACCTTATATTTTCTTTCAGAAATGCAGTCTATTTTTTTAGTGGACTAAGAAGAATCTTTTTCTTTCCTTCACAGCGTTCTGATGTTTTTAAGGTCCACTAGCATTTTGCAGTCACCAGTGTTAGCATTCTTGTTTGCCTGGTGCTGCGGCTTTATCAGGCATCCCACATGTTGGTTAGATGGGTTAGAGATGTAGCAGGCTGGCTGTGTCTGCCAATAGGCAGGAGGCCCCAAACTAACGTTTCCCTGTTCCGTTAAAGGTTTTTAGAGCATAACTGCACTTCCTGTATCATCTACCACGTCTGCTGCTTACCCTCTTCTCTTATATTCTCAGGGATTTTCCTAAGCAGATGCCTGGAATTACTGCAGATTTTACTGCAAACAATATTTTCAGATTTGGAATTTCCATATCACTTGTTAGATGTTATGAAAATAGGTGTAATGGCATATGAGAGTAAATACCTCTTTTTCCCAAATACTTTTTTAAAAAGTTGTCTGAAAATGGTGTGTTCCTCCGCTGCCCCCAGTGCCCCTCCTACTAGTTTGGGACCACTTTGTTTCTTAATCTGGCTAATTTTTTAGTTTAAATTACAATTAGAGTTACAATTGTTGATTTTTGTTCATTTAATGTGATTGATATAATTCCCACATTTTGAGCACTTCTTGTGAAATTGGTTCTTTTTTTCTATAATTTTAGAGTGTGAAATATTCTCTTGGGTTTCCTTGGTCCCCTCTTCTAACACAGTAGTTCTAAACTGAGGCATCATATTAGAATCGCCTGAGGAGCTTTTTTTAAAAAGGCTCAGTACCTCACCCTCAGCAGTTCTGTTGGGTTAGCCTGGAGTATGGCTCAGGCATCAGTAACGCTCTGCGTGGAAGGTTTTAGAGTACAGTCAGCGATAAGAGCCACTATTCCAGGATAAAATGATTTCTGCAAACATTCTTTCTCTGGGTTATAAAATGTTACATCTCCACAATCATGTGAAAGTACCATTAAAAAGTTAAAATCATTGTATAAACTCTTTTACCATGTGGCTCTTTGAATATTTTTGCTTTTACCTTTGTATTTATAGCCATGAGTAAGTATCTCAAAAAAGCTGTACACATTCCTCTGCCAACTTTCCTGTCTCCTTGTCTTAATGATAATTAATAATAAAGTCACAGTGATAGGAACCACAGAGAAGATATCTAAGGCTGTTTGTTTTCCACAGAAACAGATGTCTTACTCCTCTTGTTCCTTTTCTTATTAGAGATTCTTACAGCCTGAGAGAAGGAAAAGCTGTGTATTCCAGGACATCGTTCTGGCTGCCATAGATCTGAGAGTCCAGTGTAACTAATACTATAGATTTTTTTAAATAAATAAAAATCAAAGATGGTGAATATCAAGCTAACTCTGAATTAAACAAACATAGCTACTGGTATAAAGCTGTTCTAGTTTACTCAGTTCAAGCTAATCCAGAGTTACTGCAATCTAGTAAGTAAACAAGGTTTTTTAGTCTCTCTTAAATATCAGTGCTAACCCTATTGTAATATAAATACCACTTTGATAACAGATAAAGCATTTTAAGATGTAGCACTCGGGTGAGCCCCGTGGCTTAGCGGTTAAGTGTGCGTGCTCCGCTACTGGTGGCCCCGGATCCCGGGCGCGCACCAACGCACCGCTTCTCCAGCCATGCTGAGGCCGCGTCCCACATACAGCAACTAGAAGGCTGTGCAACTATGACATACAAATGTCTACTGGGCCTTTGGGGAAAAAAAGGAGGAGGACTGGCAATAGATGTTAGCTCAGAGCTGGTCTTCCTCAGCAAAAAGAGGAGGATTAGCATGGATGTTAGCTCAGGGCTGATCTTCCTCACAAAAAAAGAAAAAAAAAAAAAAAAGATGTAGCACTCTCACATTTTGGCTCTAGTATTTGTAAATATAATAAAATGATAATTATTTTTCTGCAACCTCTCTCACATCTTAAAATTTTCACCAAAAATTCTCAAATGTAACTTCTAAGATCTTTATGTATGCATGGGAAACTTTA